ATGAAAATTTCAAGGGGCGAAAATAGAGCCTGTAAGCAATTAAGATTCAAAGCGCAAATGCACTGAGAAAAAGTGGGCTTACGAATCATTAGAATATAAAATTAAATAAAATTTAATATATTCCTTTTTGTGTTAATAAATTATAATAACTATTACTAAATTATAATAAGATAACTAAATAAAAAATATCAATTTCTATCAGTAAAATTATTTATACAGTGCCATAAATTGTAATATCTACACACGATAAAATATTGAAAATGTCATCTAAAAATACAATAATTGAATCTATGAGAATTAATTAGCTGTAATCCAATCTGACAGTGAGTTATGAGGCTGAATAATGAAGTACGTAATAAATTAACCATCAATAATGTGACAATTGGCAATTCCTTTCAATATTGAACTCGGCCTGAACGAATTCAGTGGGTAAATTAGCTGGAACCGGACGAAACTTCAACGGTTTCTTTTATGCGACAAACCACAAAAAGTTGTCAAATTGATTTTATGCACTATTTCAATTGACCTCAAGTTGCTGTGGTTGTTGCTGTTGGAGTGCTCGAAGCAACGGTAGCTACAAGAGTTGATATCAGAGTCGCAGCCAGTGCAAAATGAAACGAATTAACAATTTGATGTAACTGTGATTTTTGGTGCTGCTTTTTGGCTGCAAACGTCGCACACGCCCTCAACAAAACGAATTCAAAAGAAATGCTTATCGTGCTTCACAGAAACCCAGCAACAGCAACAGCAACAACAACAACACAACAGCAACAGCAACAGCAAAACATGAAATTGAAAATGCCAAACGCTAAAAGACAACTAGGCGACCAGTCGTCCAGTACGGGCCGTTCAACAATGTTGCCCATAGTAAAACTGTAACGAAACCCGATTGAACCCGCCATGGGTGGCTCGACTTGCCAGGGCCCAGAGCGGCGAGCGAGATGGCGACATTGCTGAACAGCAACAGAGCAACAAAACAGTGGACCAGGGACATGGACAATAACATGTACGAAAAATTTCATTGCTGGTGTGCTTTTTGCTCTATGCCTGGCCACGATTCGCCAAGCCAAAAACCAAAACCACAAGCAACAACGGCAGAAATCTCTGCCGAAAAATCGCTGGCGGGCGTTTTGACCATGGCGCATGGAGCAGCTGCGGGCTTAGGCCAGGCCCAACTCCGGACATATCCTCAAGAGCAACAATAACAACAACGCCAACAACAACAACAACAACAGCAACAACTACAACGACAGCAACGACAAAAGCCCGAAAAAATAATTAATATGCCTCAAAAAAAGAAACCGGGCAGCCTTTATGACAGGCGACAAGGGCAGGGTTCGAGGCAACATCGATCGGGATGCAGCTGCACTTAGACGCTGGCCGCCGGCCGCCGGCAGTGGCAGCAGTTTAACTAACGGCTTCTGTGCTTGTTGTGCTGCCGTTTCCGCATCTCGGTGTCGCCTCAGAATGTGCACGATTTTCCTTCAGATTCAATTTCAAGTGCAGCAGCAACAGCAGCAGCAGCAGCAGTGGTAACAACAGCGCCAAGCGCCGCTATTAAGTCGACAACAACAACAAGCAATAACCCTAACCAAGAGAGCCGACTCAGCTGCCCAAGCCGGCAGCGCCGTGTGCCTGTTTGCCACTGTCTGCCGCTTCTTGCCGAGATTTCTATCTTTGATCTCTTACTCCACATGCAGCAGCAGCAGCAGCCTCTTGGAGCTCAGGCTGTCTGCTTGTTAAATTGCTCATTTAAACCATAACGAAATGGCTGGCTGCTCGGTTGGGCATGGCCCAGCCAGGCGCAGCATGTGCCGCCGGCTGCACTTCCTAGAACTTCGATCAGGCACTTGTTTTGCTCCCCTATTTGCCAGGGACAGCAACTGCCTGCAATTTGCCCATTGGCAGTCATGCCGTTGGCACTTTTAATTAGCATACAGCGGAAATTAGTTTGCCCACTTTATGTGACATCAGACAGTGGCAATGGCCACACCAGATGTCTCCCAACAGATTCGCCCGACATTATGGGCGGCTATTGCTGCCTGGTCTCGGCCCCATCAAATGCCTGTGAACTGCCTCAGACCTGTAAGCGACCATACACATAAATTATGATCTATGGAATTTATCGTTGACATTGCGATAACGAGCATTATCTGGACGAGGACAGAGAATAGGCACGGCTTCTCAAGCAACAAACACATGACATGGACAATTATATTTGATAGTTTTATGGCATTATTTTTTTTGTGCGTAAAATTTTGTGTTGCAGTTAAAGTTGACAGGGACTGGAATAGTAGAAAGGGAATGCCAAATGTTTTTCTTTCTTGTTAATAAAAGAAATGGATAATAATAAAGAAAATTGAGTTCAGAGAGTTAAAGCAAAACACAGTTAAGAATTTCATAAATTGCCAACTCGTTGATTACGACTCGAAAACTTTTCGAAACGTATCGGAACGAAATTAAACATTCAGATAAAAACATATATTGAAGGAAACAAGCTGTTTTAAGAACTATCGTTTATACTTTTTCTGATTTATATTTAGTAATACAGAAGGTTTTATCAAGCTAAAGCAAACTTAACATTGTCGCAGCTACAAATTCAAAAACAAAGCTGTAAACTTGGTCGTTGGCCTGGCCGTCTGACCGCACGCCAAATTGATGTCACAAAACCAAATCATAAATCAGGCAAATTATAGTTATTATTGCATGCCATATGGATGAACAGGCATACAAACATATAAATGAAGTATGGTATACACATATATAAAGATATCTATGGGCAACAGCTCGTAGAACAAGCGCCGCTGCCAAATCTTGCTTGGAAAAAGGCCATAAATCTTAGCGATACTGTGGCCAGCAGCAATCGACATCGACATACAGCATCGGTACAGACATCGGCATAAGCATCGGTATCGGCATTGGCCTAGGCATAGGCATCGTCCATGCTTGACTGGACAATCATAATAATCACAGTCACAACGGGCTGGCCAGTCGCTGCAACAGCAGCAGCAACAGCAGCAGCAGCAGCGGCGGCAGCAACAGCAACTGACAACAGGCAACAAAAGCTACTTACTATGTCTATGTCATGCCGATATGCGACTGATAAAAACCTGTGCAGAAAACAATCAGATATAGAAATACCCTAATAAAGAAAGGTAGCAAGCTTGAACTGATCTACTGGAGCTGTCTGCACGACAGGCTATACTAAATATACCAAAAATAAGTAAAATATTAATTCGAATTTATATTCGGCTTTTTCTTTCAAAAGTTAAGTATCCAAAATTCTATTAAAAATCACAGGTGAAGCATTTTAAAGTGTATAAAAACTTCGTTGGCTCATAGCAAACTTTTCGGCTTGTTGTTCATTGTTTTTGTTGTGTCTCTCTATATTTCTCTAGTAGCCAGCAAGAAAATTGACAATTGCGCACCTGCTTCATTTTCTTCTTCTCTTAGAAAGCGGGACCACTGCAATAGCAATAGCGACTGCAACTGCAACAACAACAATGCCACTGCCACTGCCACAGCCTGAGCCGCAGCAGCAGTCGCCTGTTTAATGGCACTTAACGGTCAGCATGCTCACTGTGTAGCAGTAAACTTTGTGCTTATAGCAAAACTTTCCAAAAAAAAAATATATATATATATATATACAAAAATCTGGCGACCACGTCTTTAGTTGTATATGCTTACTTAAACGTATGCCTATATTTAGTTATGCAGCTCATACTGGGCTCGTACCTTCGATTTAAAGCACCTTGCATTTGCATAATGCAACAAATATTTACATATCAAATACGTATACATATACATGTGTATTTCTCGGAATAACTATTTCATAAAATGCAGCAATGCTCTAATTGTATGGTAATCGAGTTAGCCCAAAATAAATCTGTGCAGCAGACAACGATCCAAATGAATTATGAGTAGAGGATCTAAGGCACGCCAGCTTGCAGCAGCTGTGTGCGGCGTCTTTTGTGTGGTTTTTCATTAAAAACTGATTTTGGGCCCAAACCAAATGGCCATCAGTGGCCAATTAAGCGAGCCAAAAATCAGGCTGACAAACCTAGCCAGAAGATCAATAAGCTACTGCTGCTGCTGCTGCTGCTGCTGATGATGATGATGATGAAGTTGTTTTGATAAAGGCCCTGCCTTAGAAACGTGCTCAATTTATCGAAATCGGTGCAGAGTGCACCATGGTGCATATACTGAGGAGCACTTTGCATGGCCCGCTTGCCCAAGATAAACATCATAAATGCATTGAAATGTCATTGCCAACTGTTGCTATCGGCCGTCTGGGCAATGAGCTGGCCAAAACGAGCCAGCGATGGCGATAATAACGAGAAGCTTAACCTGGCCAAGAGCAGCCGTCAATAGACCCAGGAGCAGAAAGTGCCGTTACTCCTTATGCAATTACGAGTACCTGCAATTGCCGAAGCTTAATTAGAAACACATAGAGGGCAACCGAGCTCTGGACCTGCTCCACTCTAACTTTGGCTCCACTTGGACTCGTACACAGTCAGAGCTCTTTGGACTGATGATTATTTATCACCGTCGTGAGTCGTGCGACAATGACGAGACGGCCAAAGCAACAAATCCTGTGCACCGTGAATCACAACAAACCAAAAAACAATTCAAACAAATATTTACAAAAATACTTTAACAACCTGTTATATTATATTCGTGCAAATATCTGAATTTTTGAAGAAGAATTCTAATTTTCCGAGTTGACAAGTTAATTTTAATTGATGCTAGAACCACTGTGCAGCGTTAGCAACATTTGACTGGCAACATGTTGGCAAGTGGTTGCTCCCTTCCTGTCAGATTGGCCACTCAATCTTCAAAGCCAGCGAACTTAAGAGTGCCTCGCTTAGGGAGCGACATTCTGTGAGAATCAAACTAATTTTGAATCACCTGGTTAAAATAAACAAAATGCCACATGCCATAGCGAAAGCTGATTGTTAAGCAATATTTGAACACTTTTACACTTTAGTTAATAACTAACATGTGAACATGTTCATCTAGCGGGCTGCAGCATCCCAGTTCAGTTGCCAATTACAGCTAAAGCTATGCAGTTTGCTCTATACTTCATTTCGTTTGGTTTGATTGTAGAAGTTTCAAGCTTTGGATACACAAGGGAACCGTTTGTAAAGAATTGTGAGTCAAGTCTATAATTTTGCGAAGAATGTTATTACATGTTATGTCACCCCATGTGTAATGCAGTGAAGTGTTTGTTCCGCGTTAATCCTGGTCCATGCAAAGGCAAATATGTAATGTTTGGCTACGATCCCTTTGCCAGACAATGCTCTAAATTCTTTTACAGTGGCTGCGGTGGAAATCCAAACCGTTTCGGCTCAGAGTTAGAATGTCGGCATGCTTGCAAGAAAGTTGTAGCCGTGGATGAATATGAAGAATATGAATACACTGATGATCATCATACAGATATAACATTTCCAGACGTTGAATATACAGATAATAATGATAATAAAAATACTGACGTAGCTTACGTTACGGATGACGATGATAAAAATTACGAATATCAATAATTAAAAACAAAAGGAAAGATCCAAAAAATTGAAGCAATGAAAACCAAAACGAACAAAAATAAAAAAATTATAATTTAAATATAAAAAAGTTATCAACGCTTACAAGATGAGAAAATAAAGGACGCTATTAATCATGTCTTAGAAAAGTTAAACAGTTGTAAATTAAAAAACGACACACATATCTTACAAAATTGTTATATTTTTATGAAATAGTCATTGTAAAAAAGCAGCTGATGCTAAATTTTAAGTTAATGGCAATGTAGTGTAATAAACAATTCGTGCGGCTCAAGGCAGTTATATTTAAATATTAATAAGTATATTATTCTATGACAGCAAATGCGGAATTTGCTTATGTTTCCGGATGTTGTTTTATGTGTAGACACAGCCCCAAGCCACAAAAACAATATCAGACAACAACAAGTTGCGTAGCCAATGCAGCGGAACTAAACCATTAACGCCCCAAACTGTGCGATCGAATGCCGACTTATGAGCCAGAATCGTATCGCACATTCTAATGACTTTATTACAAGCAATGCAGGGCATAAGCAATGGGTTATTGTTGTTGTTAGCGCTGCTGCTGCTGTTGTGGCTGCTGCACCCACTAACAAACATGACGTCAGGGGTGTGCCACAGTCGTCGTCGTCGTCGACGTCGTCGTCGTCGTCGGCTTGATGCCTTTTAAGTGTGCCGTATGCTGAAATAAATACGAGTACCAGGCCAGGGCAGGCCATGCTGGGCCAAGCAGCGACTGTATATCAGTTGACTTTTCTGGCTTTGACAATTATTTATGGTAATAAATAGAACCGCCAGCTTGAAGCTGGGCACAGCTTAGCTGGATGTACAGCTATATACACCTATCACAGATACTAAATCTAAGTCCCAAGTCGAGCCCACATAATGCGCCTCTAATTACCGCACTCGGCAAAATGTGTTACAATTTCTATAAAATTTTACGAGCTGAGCGATTTGTGCATGCAAATTTCGATTGGCAATTACCACTCGGGCGCAGAGCATATTAAAATGTTGAAACGTCATTGAATGCAACTGGCAATTTTTATAAAGCAGGCGTCCAGTTCATTGTCAGGCAAACAAATGGCCAATGTCTCATTAATGCCACACAATGGAGGCAGCCAGCGGCGGCGGCAGCGACGTCCCGCTGCGTCCAAAATATGCAACATTCATCAATCACACAGCGCACACTGCTGGCCAGGAATGAGAATGAGTTCACGCGCTGCACTTGGGGTCGAATTGCGGGCTCTAGCTGTGCCAGTGCCAGTGCCTGGGCCTGGGCCTGTTCTGGGGCCTGTGCCTGTGGTCGGGCCAAAAGTTTGGTCTTGGATTGATTTGCTCGGCGCATTTTCAAGTCAATTACACATATTTGTGGCATTTGTGGCACTCAAATATGAATACCCGTGCGGTGGGTCGCAGTCGTAGGTGTTAGCCGTTTGTCTGTTTTGCTATGTTTTACCCTATGCCACCTCTGTCTGTCGATTTTGTTTGTTTGCTTATTTGTTGTTGCTTGTGTGTGTGTGTGTGTGTGTGTGTGTGTGTGTGCGCGCGCGCGGGGCATGCCACAACAAAGCCATATGTGTCCGCCCACAGCGGCGCTGGTCAAACAGCGCCACAAGTGAGTCACGTTGCCAGTCAAGCGAGCCATAAATTATGCCCAATACAGTTGCACAATAGCGACAACAATGGCATTTAGAGGGCCATCTAAGGGTTAAATAGCGTCTCTTATCGAACAGCTGTTTCAAAAGCTTCACACGCCCCCCACATAAATAACACAATGCCCCAAGCACCAGGTTGATAAGAAAGCTTTACTTACTTGACTGTTTGGCTCAACACGGCGCATGTCTGATGAGCGAGCCAGAGCGCGAGTTAGAGAGAGAAAGAGAAGAGAGAGCGAGTGCGACTGCAAAGAGTGCGGATGCGAGCGCGCGCGCATTGATAACAAACGTAAGCTGAGCAATGCTGTACTTAAAGCACGGATTGAATACAAAATTTAAATTGTTATAATACAAAAATATTAAACTGTCTAGCTCTGAAATACCGCATATTTAAAAAAAAAAAAAAATAGCTTGTAGTTTCCTTGTCTTTTTTAGTTAAAGAAATTTAATAATTAAAATTTACATTATTTGAGTTGAGAAAATTTAAATTAATAAAATAAATTTAATAACTGAAAATTGTATTATTTTAGCTAGAAATTTTATAATTCCAAAGAGGCAATCAAGCAAAAAATAAAGCAAAGTCATAATTCAATTAATTTAATTTTTTGAGCGGGCTGTTATTTTATTAAAAGTCTGTCATTAGGGCTAGCAGAAAGACATTATAAAATATTATGGACTTCTATTTGCTGACTCTTCAAACTGATCGGTTCGGTTATTTTTGGATATCAAAACAATTAAAACTTCACATACAATTTATGTCATCAGAATATACATAAATATTTTATTTATAAAAATGTGTAGCATTTAGTGACCTAATTTTATTTTTATATACGAGTTTTGACTGGTTGGCTTGTGGATTTTTTGTGCTTTTCTTAAATCACAATCTATATCTATTTTCTCCAATACATATCGAGAGGACTATCAGCTGTCCGCTTCAAGAGCTGTAATCTTTTTAAACCTCACTGTGTAATAACAAAATCATAAAACATCCAAGACTTGAGCCAGCCAAATCATAAATCTTATATAAAAATATTTTACGAATATTCTTATTAAATTGTAAATTTATTAGTGTGATTTGTTAGCCGAAATTATAAGTTATATTTTTAATATTTAAAAATTAATTAAACATGATAAGCTTGTAATATAATATAATTATACCATAGCGATAACCTTGAACTAAATATTTTGAAAGTTTACATACACAAAGCCAACTAAGGATTAGTAGATTTTCTATTTATTTATAAGATTAACATATGATATATGATCGTATGTACATAATATCTGTAGAATGCATTTATGTGGCAACTAAGGCGTTCCCTTTGTCACATTCTTTCTTCATGATGACAACTAAATAAAAAGTTTGTACTATTTTTACTACCGTCGCTGCTCCGCACTCGCTCCCATTCCCCACTCTTACCCGCTGGTGACACACTCTGTCGCTGATATGGATACTCTCTCTCTCGCTCTCTCTGTCGCCCTCTCTGTTTCTAATTTGCTCTCTGATGCCTGTCAGTTTTGCACATCAGAATACGTAAACAAAAGCATACTATCGTGTAAATAAACAGAAATGAAATATTTATTCTCATCGCTCGGCGCTCAGCTCCGACTCTCTGTCGCTCTTTGGCCCGCATGGAGCAGCGACTGCGGCGACAGCAAAAGCAAAACAATCAAGTGAAAGCGCTGAGCAAAGCATAGCATATCTAAACTTATTGTGCTGTATTGTATCCACAACTTTCATTGGCACTGCTGCGCTGCCGTCTCGCAGCAGATACAGATACTACGCGTACATTGCACAAGAGCAAAGTGCACGGCGCATGGAGTCACAGAGCGCGGTACACGGAGCACGGAGCACGGAGCACGGAGAGCGCATTGTGTGTGAAAAATGTAGCAGAAATTCTCACGGAACCCAGACCCAGACACTGGCAGAGTCAGAGTCACCATCAGCACGCCAGGCTGAGTCGTCAGTGTCGTCAGTGCGCGGTCGGAGCCAAACGCGGGCGTAGCAAACTCATTTCGTAAATGGAAATGTGCTGGAGACGCAGACGGCGCGGCAAGCCAATGAAATGAAATTTATTAAATTAAAGAAGACCTGAATACATGAACGAACGGAAGTGAAAAGTTACAAAGTTACTACATACATATGTATATGCATAGTGTACACAACTAAATAAACTAATAGCAAAAGGTAGCTAAACGAATAGCTCACTTGAGCATAGTGCAGCCAGAAAATGTATCTGTGAAGTAGCCATAAATGTGTGTATGTGTTCGTGATATGTGTGTGTGTGTGTGTGTATGTACACACAGCAGTCAAGTGCCTGATTGGGGGTGCGTGTGTGTGTGTACATGGAAGTACACGCCTTTTGAGTGCAGCAGCAAATATGCCAATAACAAACATAGTTGGAATTTGTTTTCCACACTAATTCTCATTATTGGCCGCAGATCAAATTTAACCAAATTGGTTGTGAGGGGCATCCGACAAATGGGAAATGCACCCCAGACAAACTGTCGTCTGGGAAATTAAGCGGACTTTCCCATATGTACACAATATTGTCTGGCTATTTGCCAACTGCCTTATATCCAGTGGGTTGCGTACGGGTCAATATCCTTTGACCCAATTATGGGAGCCACTATAAATTCATAAGCTAGCAGCCAATTGACATGGATGTTGTTGTTGTTGTTATTGCTGCTACTCTGACAGTGTCAACTCGTTTATAATGGGCTTCAATTTCCGTTGCTTTTGTATTTGGGTTTATTTGCATGGACTCACAGCCCAGCGCTGGCCCCCTCCCCCCCAACTCATCGCCCACAACCACGACACATGGCACGCCTCTGAGCTTGCTTGCAAAAAAAGGAAGAAAAAAAAGAAACACAGTTGCGTATGGAGTTGTAAGTGGAGGGCGGAGTCAGCCCCTTGGATGGTGGGTGCGGCAGGACCCCAGTCAGAGTCTGCAGGAATACTCTCAGGAGCAACACACACTCTGAAAAGCTCTCTCGCACCTCTCTCTCTCTCGTTTTGTCCATGGGACGTGCCTAACCTACCTTGCGTTGAATTTTATAGTAGCATAATAAAAGTACATGTGAGTGTGCGTGGGTGGGTGAGTGTGAGTGTGAGTGTTCGGGGTGCGCGTCTGTATGTGTGTGTATGGCAGAGCGTGTGTAAGCAGGTGATTATCTGTTGCAGAGTTGTATTTATCTCATTGAAGCCGATGTGACAGACTGGCAGCATGCTTTCAATTTCTGGCTCCCCATTGGGCGATATCAAAAGACAGCCAGACGAATCGACAGAGTACAATGGTTAAAATTTCACACAAGTTCAACAAATTTCGAAGGGCATATAAGTATATTGAAATTGAATACGTATTTATTCAGCAACATTTTCGACTCTTACTTTTCAAAGATTTCTCCATTGTCATAGACAATGTTGAAAATTTAAGAATGTTTATAGGGTTTTAATATTGAGTCAATATATTTTTCATTGTGCCTAAATAATTAGAAAGTTTATGTGCGTGCATTTTGCATAATTTGTACATTAGATTTGAATTTTATTCAGTGGGAAAACAAAACTAAATATAATATATTTTACATACTGAAAGGCAGTTTTTCGGTGCGAGATTTCGAATTTTTGCCACTGTGTGTGC